TAACAAGAGGCCCATGGGCCACATCGCTCACCTGAGAAGCTTTGACCATTCTGTTCTTTACCAGATTTCCCCCTTGTAATACATTATGTATCCCCACCCTACCCCACTGATCATAATTAAGACATTTTGAAATCAACTACCCCAGGATCCTTCCATGTGCAAATAAGTTTCAGCTTTTCTGGCCCAGTGGTTCTTGAGAAGAAGATTTTCAAAGATTTTTCCTATCTATTTTTATGTAAAACTTTGATCCCCCCATTGTGGCTCCACCCTTCCCCTGGGGGTCATGATTTGAAAAATTCAAAATCTACATTACCCAAGAATGCTTCCAATTTTTCTGGCCCGGTGGTTCTTGAGAAGAAGATTTTAAGATTTTTCCAATATATTTCTATGTAAAACTTTTTCATTGTGGGCCCGGTGGTTAGAATCTACACTATACCAGGATGCTTCCACATAAGTTTCAGCTTTTCTGGCCCAGTGGTTCTTGAGAAGAAGATTTTCAAAGATTTTTCCAATATATTTCTATGTAAAACTTTGATTACCAATTGTGGCCCCGCCCTTCCCCCGGGGGTCATGATTTAATTTAGAATCTACACTATACCAGGATGCTTCCACATAAGTTTCAGCTTTTCTGGCCCAGTGGTTCTTGAGAAGAAGATTTTCAAAGATTTTTCCTATATATTTCTATGTAAAACTTTGATTCCCCATTGTGGACCCACTCTTTCCGCGGGGGTCATGATTTGAACAATTTAGAATCTACACTACCCAAGAATGCTTTCACATAAGTTTCAACTTTTCTGGCCCAGTGGTTCTTGAGAAGAAGACTTTCCAAGATTTTTCCTATATATTTCTATGTAAAACTTTGATTCCCCATTGTGGCCCCACCCTTCCCCTGGGGTCATGATTTTTACAATGTAGAATCTTCACTATCCCAGGATGCTTCCACATAAGTTTCAGCTTTTCTGGCCCAGTAGTTCTTGAGAAGAAGATTTTCAAAGATTTTTCCTATATATTTCTATGTAAAACTTTGATTCCCCATTGTGGCCCCGCCCTTCCCCCGGGGGTCATGATTTGAACAATTTAGAATCTACACTACCCTAGGATGCTTTCACATAAGTTTCAACTTTTCTGGCCCAGTAGTTCTTGAGAAGAAGATTTTCAAAGATTTTTTCCTATATATTTCTATGTAAAACTTTGATTCCCCATTGTGGCCCCGCCCTTCCCCCGGGGGTCATGATTTGAACAATTTAATATCTACACTACCCTAGGATGCTTTCACATAAGTTTCAGCTTTTCTGGCCCAGTAGTTCTTGAGAAGAAGATTTTCAAAGATTTTTCCTATATATTTCTATGTAAAACTTTGATTCCCCATTGTGGCCCCGCCCTTCCCCCGGGGGTCATGATTTGAAAAATTTAATATCTACACTACCCTAGGATGCTTTCACATAAGTTTCAGCTTTTCTGGCCCAGTGGTTCTTGAGAAGAAGATTTTTTAATGACCCCACCCTATTTTTGTCTTTTCTTGATTATCTCCCCTTGCGAGGGGATATGTCCTTTCATTTTAACAATTTAAATTCCCCTTCACCCAAGGATGTTTTGTACCAAGTTTGGTCATAATTGGCCCAGTGGTTCTTGAGAAGAAGTCGAAAATGTGAAAAGTTTACAGACGGACAGACAGACAGACAGACAGACAGACAGACGGACGGACGACGGACAAAATGTGATCAGAAAAGCTCACTTGAGCCTTCGGCTCAGGTGAGCTAAAAATGCCATTAATTTTTTCAGTAATTCATAATTATCTCCCCTTGAATGAGGGCCTGGCCTGGCTTGAACAAACTTGAATCCCCTTCACCCAAGGATACTTTAGGAAGTGTAGATTCAAGTTTGTTAGACTTACTGTTTGTGAAAATACTTGGCATTGTGTTCTTTCATTAAATCTACATGTGAGATGCTTCAGAGTCTGTCTATTATTCCCTAGCTTTCACACTTTGAAGAAGCACACTGTCATCCCGCGCAATTGTTTTTTTAGCACCCCCACTTCTCGGCATGTTTTATGCATTCACTCACTCTCATACCCTCTTCAAAAAGAACTTTATTCGGTAATAACCAATATTTGCCCCCCAAATCAAACTTTGATGGAGATATATTTAATTAAGTTCTTAAACAGGGGAGTATATGCTGACTTCAAAGCACTGAATATTTTCATAAGTAATGACGCCATATGTACGTAATGACGTCACAAACATGACGTAAATTTCAGTTTTTTATGAATTTTACAGAAAAATGTACATATTTCGTCGATATTTTGAGTAAAAGTCACCGAGCGCATGTGTGTTCAGGATCAATATTTTTATATAATGTGTAGAATGATAATATCAATGAAATATGTCAATATTGTTCCTGAACAAACTTGCGCTCAGGGCCGTCACTCCCCTATAAATTTCCCAATGGCACAAAGTGCTAAAATTTTACGTATAAATTTCCCAAACACGTGTTTTCTCGTATATACGACCTAAAATCCCACTCATACATCCTTTATTTGATCCATTTAGCAGTAATGCATGCTTGATTTTAATCTGCAACAACCCTGTCATGATTGTTTATTTCTAATTCGAATTTCCTCTGTCATGGCATAAAGATCCATAGACAGGTCATACGTAGATTGGGATGGGGAACTTATTTTCATTATTAAACAAGGATAACCATTATGAGTTAGTTCATAAAATAAATATATATATATATTAAAGTGAATTATAAATTAACAAATAAAATCTTGGACACTATCTATTTCATTTGCATGAGTCAAATGACCAGAAAAAAAGAAATAAATTTATATACAATATTGTGGTAACCTTTTAAATAGTAACTTGATCATTTCAATAAAATTATTCTTTATAATCTAAATTTTTGATTTATTTTGCAATGTGAATACACTGCCCTCCCCACATTTTTTTTTCAATCTCTGTATCATATGAAAATAAAAGAAAAAATGTCTGTCTAGTAAGTAAATGTTTTGTTAAAATATAGATTTTATCAGACCTTGTGTCCTGTAAATTTTAGCTTTTCAAGTATATTTTTTAAAGTGATAAATGACTTTCATGATTAAATATTTTGCTGGGGAGGTTAATACAAGTACATGTAAGTATGTTTATAATTTTCCCAATTTAACAAAAATGTCGAGGATTTTTCCCAATATAGGGGGACCCAGTCCCTGTACCAAAAGGTGCTGTGACAGCCCTGGCGCTCTATAAATTTTAAAGCTAAAATTGTTGAAATTTTGTCCATTTTGTCCTCTTTCTGAAAAAGGATATAAAATCGGACTAGTTTGTGATGTCATAAAAACAAAAATTGTGAATACACTGCTTTGACACTATAATATTTTCTGTTAATTTATACATCTCATACAATTTATTGAATTCAGCACATTTCAGGAAGTTTTCAAAATTTGACTTTTGTGGGGGCAAATATACAACATACCGCATATAGTTCTTTCTGTATTGTTCAGCAATTAATTCCAGTCAAATTCTGAAGCTTATAACTTGAATTACCTGCAGAAGATAAATTAATTATGATTTCTTTCTGATCGGGTGTCATTTCTTTTCCATGTGAAGACGTTTCCAGGCAGACAATAGTATTGTTTACCAAGGGGAATAACTTGATAAAGAATAAGATATGGTTAAAAGGAATAAAAATCAATGGTTTCCGATAAAATTGGATCACGAATATCAAATTTTAATGCAGTTATACATCATTGAAAATCAAAGCGAGACCAGAAGCTGTAACAATGATGCCATTTTGCAAACTCATTCATGTCACACTACTGTACATTACCTGAGGGTACTTATATATTACATGTATTATGATTTTCCCTATGCCTTCTGCCCAGGTGAGCTAAGAACTATTTAAAGATAAGCAAACATTTTAGATACATTTTAAAAGAAAGACTACATGTAACTACTTTTTATGGGCAAAAATATCAGTTGCTTAAATTTACATTAAAGTCTTATCCTTCATTTTTTAAATCATAAATTCTATTTTCTGATGGCAACTGCAATCATTTTAAGATACAACTTGGAGTACTGGGCCAACTGAATTTGAGATGATCAAAGTTACATGGAAAATCAATGGACTTCTTCAAAAAAAACTTATACTTTATCACTCAGCCACAAAATATAGGTCAGATCCAGCATTCAAAACAAGTCTGATCATGTGTGTCTATAGTTACATTAAGTTAAACCATGAAAAGTTGGTCCAGGCTGGGATAATAAATATAAATTGGGAATAAAATTGCTCCTTAAACTTTAAACTACTCCCAAAATTTTTAACTTATATATAGTCACTCTTCCAGAAAATACTGACTGAAAATATAGCATGTGAAATCTGACTGGTTCAATGAAACATACTAAAGCTTGATGCATTCATCCCTGGTTAAATAAGAGGTTAACATTCCTGATCAAATAATGACTTAGAAAAAAATCTACTAAATAAACTTAAGCCTGAGACTCTGAAATCAAAAATTCCAAAAAGGTGAACTAAAAATACAAAGATTAATATTGTAACTTAAAACTTTCAGTGATTTGTATATCAATTTGATGAAATCACGGCCCTGGTGAACTTAGAGAGATTTATAAAGCTCTTGTGCCTTCCTCTTTCACTGGGACCATTTGAACAAATATGAATGCACTTACTGAGGATGCCTGTACATAAATGTGACATAACATGGCTTTGCTGCTTTTTTCACATTGTATTTTTTACCTTTTATATCCTCAAAACTTAGACATAAAACATTCACACTCTCTTTATACATAAGGTTTTACAGGAGTTCCGATTTTTTCTGACTAAGTGGTCCTTGAGAATACTGCTTTTAAAAACAGAAGGATGGATATTAGACCAGCAGACAGACAGCTAGACAGACAAAAACATCATAAAAACTTTCTTGAGCTTAAAGCACAGGTAAGCTATGAGAAATATATTTAAGCAAAGCAATATTATAAGATGTTTACCTCCCTCTTTGTGTACTTCTGTCCAGGTGATTTTGAATCCTTTGGCACCAAGAGCTCTACTAGAAGTTAGAAATCTATAAAAAAAACAAGAGGCCCATGGGCCACATCGCTCACCTGAGCACTGTGGCTAGGAAAAGTAGAAATTGGTTTATTATTGAATAGCTTAAATCCAAAAGTAGTCCCAAGACCAATCATTTGCTATTCTTGATAAGATGATTTTTAAAGAATTTTCATATATATGTCTATGTAAAACTTTGATTGGCCATTGTGGCCCCGCCCTACCACCGGAGGTCATGATTTGAACAAACTTGAATCTACACTACCTGAGGATGCTTTTATAAGAATATGATCAATTATGGCTTTGCTATTCTTGAGAAAAAAATTTTTAAAGAATTTTCCTATATATTTCTATGTAAAACTCTGGTCGGCCATTGTGGCCCCGCCCTACCCCCGGGGGTCATGATTTGAACAAACTTGAATCTACACTACCTGAGGATGCTTCCATAAGAATATGATCAATTATGGCTTTGTTATTCTTGAGAAGAAGATTTTTACAGAATTTTCCTATATATTTCTATGTAAAACTTTGGTCGGCCATTGTGGCCTCGCCCTACCCCCGGGGGTCATGATTTGAATAAACTTGAATCTGCACTACCTGAGGATGTATCCCCATAAGTTTCATCTTTCCTGGCACAGTGGTTCTTGAGAAGAAGATTTTTAAAACATACCACCAAATTTTCATTAATTCCCAGTTATCTCCCCTTAAATGAGGGCAGGGCCCTTTATTTGAACAAACCTGAATCCCCTTTACCCAAGGATGCTTTGTGGCAAGTTTGGTTGAAATTGGCCCAGCGGTTTTTGAAAAGAAGTCGAAAATGTGAAAAGTTTACAACGACGACGACGCCAACGACGACAACAACGATGACAGACTGCGGATAAATTGTGATCAGAAAAACTCACTTGAGCCTTTGGCTCAGGTGAGCTAAAAAATAGACAAAACAAGAACTTCAAATTATGACAGTCTTATTCAAAATACTGTAGTAACTATGAAGTGAACTTGTTATCAATACAGTAAATCTTTAGTTTACAGTAAAAACGTGACATTCACACATTACTTGAGAAACACATGTTCATGATGTTTGATGAGTTTTAAGATATTGTGCTCAAGACAGTAAGTGGCATAAAAAAAGTTAAACAACAGGATCATAGAAGTATCAAAGAGGGTTTTCTTTAGTGACTATAAGAAAGTTTCAGTATTTATGGCCAGAACTGATGACAGGATTATAAGGAGGCATTTTAGAAGATCTAGGACAGTAGGGATGCTGGAAGCTAGCAAAACACAATGTCAATTTGCAGAGAGACTTCATTATCTCAAAGTATAATTAGCTATCTATGCTACCAATATATACAGGCAGAAAATTTTTAGAAGGCAAAATAATCAATCAAGACCAATGTTGCAAAGAGGCACCACTTCAAAAGTGCTTTTAAGCTTAATACTGAGTTTCAGAGAGCAACAGAGGGAGGAATTTCTACTCAGACAGTTTGAAACAGACTTCATGAAGCAAATCTCAAAGCTTGCTCCTGACCAGTACTAATATTAGAGCATCACAGAAATACACTACAGTGGGCAAGAGAACACAGAAATTGGCAATGTCTATGGCATCCCGTTCTGAGATGAGTCACAATTTTGTGTTGACTTCCATGATAGCAGAACACTTGTTAGGAAAGTATAGGGGAAAAGATAAGCCATTTGTTGCATTTCTAAACCTGACATTTTTTTTAGGTTAGGTGATGGATTGTGCAGGCATAAGTGATTTAAACATCATTGAAGGCTTCCTGACAAGTTTAAAATATTGTGATGATATATTTTATCCTATTTTAAGACCTATTCAAGTACAACTCATAGAGCATGAATTGAAAACCAGTACTTAGAAAGTGAAACAATTCAGAAACTAGCCAGTTGTTCTCCAGACCTAAACCCACTTGAACACGGATGAGAAATCTTAAGCAAGGCAATTCAGCTTGTCTAACATTTCCCCCAAATCGACAGGAGCTTCAGACAGCTTTGCAGAAGGAATGGCAAAAAATCACTAAGGCTAGCCTTGCAAGGCTCTGTAAGGTTGTTATTCCCTCGCTGGAAGGTCATACAAATACTGCCAATCATTTTACTGACATAATTTGACTCTTCTAAAAAAATTCTTACTTTCAGGTTTACATCCAAATGGGGGAACTTTGGAGTGACCAAATGGAGCAATTTGTAGTGCTTGTTCAATCAAACTTATCAAACTCAATCATATATTTTCAAACTTTAGAAATGAAAATAAAATAAAATTGCATACCTTTAGTTTTATATTAAATTTATATTACTGTATTTCATTTTCTATGAAAAAGTATATATGTAAAATATATATAATTTGATGTTCCTTAACTTTGTCCAGTATATTTATTCAGGAAATAAAACCACAATTGTACTCACTCTAATTCAAAAGTATCATTGTGAGACAAGAAAGGTTCTCCGTTCAACTGCCCACACTTCTCCTCAGGTGGCTCAATATACGGTGTAGGAAACCGAGCATTCCCGCGATACAGTCTTAATACTGCATTTTGGCATCCATAATTAGATGTGGTTAATTCATCTCTTGAAACTTTAAAAAAAAAAAAAAAGGTATATTGTAAGTTAGCGTTCAAAATTATAACCCCTCCCTATTTTTCTGCCCGTTATAGTATGTAATTCTTAAGTGAAATATACTGACACGCAAAAGAAACGCAACAAGCAGTAATCTATTATGTTTGTAAAATGTTTGATTTTTTTATCTTATGATTTTCAAAAATGAATACAGTAAGGCTAAACTCACTTTTCAGAACATCAAAGATTTGATAAAAACGTTAAATGTTTATATTTACTTTACTAAGTAACATATGACTGTAAAAACACCCCCCTCCCAGCCATTAAAGTGAAACGTTCAAGACTGCCCTATACAACAATTGCAGCTTAGTTTCTACGATACAATAGGTTCATCAATATCGAGATCTGAGCGAAGGAATTATTCTTTGCCATTTTTAAATGTCCGTTTTTCAGATGATTAGGTCGAATTTTCTCTAACTTAGAGCAGTGTAGCCGCCCTTGGACTTCCGGTACAAGGACTGACCTTAATGAATATGATACACAAGACCCTGTTGAGGCGTAATGTTGTTAATTTTTGCATCAGCAACTCTCCATCACTTTTACATTGAAATTTTTCAGCTAGAGCAATGGAAATGCCATTTTAAGCCATTTTCAAGAAGCCTTAGCATCGTTACGGGAAACGAAAGAAGAGTTTATTTCTTGAAATATTGCTGTATTACTTATGATAAACAGTTTAAACCCTTAAAACTCCATAATATTGCCAAATGCTTTGTTAAATATGCATTTTTTGATTTCTGTTAAGCAGACTCAAACTTGACTTCCGGTTATGGTATGAAAATCGTTCAACCGTTAGATTACCGATGTTTCCCAAATTGAAGATATCCATAATTTTGAGATACAAAATTTTTTACTTTACATAATTATTTCCCCCTAAGTAGGATGTTGCGTTTCTTTTGCGTGTCAGTATATATCTACAGTAAAACTTGGTTATAACAAAGTCGCCAGGACCTATGAAATTACTTTGCTATATACGTAATTTGTTATATCCGTATAAAGAATTCGTTAGACTTATATAGCTGGGGATCCAAGATAACTTTGCTATATCCGTAAATTCGCAATATCTGTGTTCGTTCTAAAGGAGTTTTACCATATACAGATACTTTTTCTGCAAGTAACTTGAAATTTGTCAGTGACACAGTGACTGTGTACCAAAATTTTGATTTTCTGTCAGTTTGAATATAATGTTTGTTTAACGTGTTTGAATACTTTATATCCATTACAAAGTGATATGAGCTGGACTGATATATAATTGTTTTCAGTGACCTTGAAATTGTGAGAATGTCCTTGGCTGTTGTGGGCCTTATAGGTCACCTGAGTATCATGTAACAACTTTCCAAAAATTGAATTTGGTTCGTGTTTTAAACCAGAGGCCATTAAATTCACAATTTTGAAAGAGGCACCATTGCTTATCATAATTATACACTTAGCATGCTTACTCTAGTTCCTTAATACCCAGAAGTAGATCAGAGTAAAGAAAATGCATTTCCACTTTATAAACAGTTGTGCACCCCACCCCACAGGAACAACTGACCCTGGGGCCACATATTTCAAAATTTTGGAAATTTTATCATAAAATTTATTTCATCATAAATGGTTGATCAATACCAAAGAGCAGGTTTCAAAGCATTAATTTATTTTCAGACTATGTCACCCCCCCCCCCCCCAAACCCCGACCCCCCATACCCTGACCCAGGGAGCATGAAAGTAACCATTTTGCTAGATGCACCTTTCTTCGTCATAAATATAAATACTTATATCATTGGCATAATACCTACATATTGTAGAAGCAAAGGAAAAGATTTCCAAAAAAATAATATATTTTCACTATATAATCAAAAGAGCCCCCCCCCTTACACCAACTGGTAAAACCCCTGACCCTGGGGCCATAAAATTCACAGTTTGGTTGAGGCAGTCTTGCTAATTATAACTATATATATATACTTAGTTAGTTTATTTAATACCCAGAAGCAGAGAAGAAGATTTTCAAAGAACTAATGTATTTTCACTATACAATCAATAGAGCCCCGCCCTAACTACAGAACCCCTGACCCTGGGGCCATAAAATTCACAATTTTGGAAAAGGCACTATTGCTCATCATAACTTTGTACTTAATTAGTTTATTTAATACCCAGAAGTAGAGAAGAAGATTTTCAAAGAATTAATGCATTTTCACTTTATAATCAATAGAGCCCCACCCTAACTATAGAACCCCTGACCCTGGGTCCATAAAATTCCCAATTTTGGAAGAGGCACTCTTGCTCATCATAACTTTGTACTTAATTAGTTTATTTAATACCCAGAAGCAGAGAAGAATTAATGTATTTTCACTATGTAATCAATACAGCCCCAACCTAACACCGGAACCCCTGACCCTGGGGACATAAAATTCACAATTTTGGTAGAGGCACTCTTGCTCATCATAACTATGAACTTAGTTAGTTTATTTAATACCCACAAGCAGAGAAGAAGATTTTCAAAGAAATAATGCATTTACAGTATATAATCTATATTGCCCCGCCCTAGCACTAGAACCCCTGACCCCAGGGCCATGAATTTCAAAATTTTGGTAGAGGACTCAATGCTGATTACAATCATGCCAACAGTTTGACTGCTTGATGTCCAAAAGTAAAGAAGAAGATTTTTAAAGATTCCATTAATTTTAGTGGTTTTAGCCCCACCCCCAAGGCCCCAGGGGGGCAGGGACCATGAAATTCACAATTTTTGTTCCCCTTCACCAATAGATGCTGTTTACCAAATTTGATTAAAATTGGTTCAGTGGTTTCAGAAAGGAAGCTGAAAATGTTCAAATGTTAACACACAACACAATACACGACGATGGACTGAAACTGATAGCAATAGGTTACCTGAGTGACTCAGGTGTATGGCACGCCAATTGGTTCAAAAGTATTTTCTGCACAACGATCAAGATTTTATACACGAGCTAGATGAAAAATATACACGAGTAAAATAAAATTGCACGTATAGATAAAAATTGCACATAGTTTGAAAGATTTTAACACAAACATAACGAAAAATACACGAATCCGAAATTTTTTACACGATTTAGGGGTATAATATGCACAAACAAAAATCAAAAATTGCACGAGCAGAGGAAACTAAAAATTACACAAACAATTTTACTGCGCATACAGCTGCGCATATCATAATTATGTACATAGAATATTCATCGTGTTCTTGGTTTTCTGTACTCTTTATCTCTTCATTTATTCTTAGCTGGATGTAATCGAGAATAGAAAATGGCGTTGACGATGGCATATGTGCTTTACTTTGCTTCATTTCTTTGCTAAAACTCGATCCGATTTCTAGCTAATGCCAATCGAACAAATGAAGTGTTTCTATGTGATCTATATGTGAGAATACTTCAAAGTCTTTCGAAAATATTATGTTTTTCTTATATTGACCGAGATCCTAAACAATATATGGAGGTATTATTTTGATGCCGGACAAAAATTGTGACAAGAAGGAATCGTAAAATGCGGGGAAAAACATTGCATATGATGCACTCGACTCTGAACTAAAAGTACCTAATGATAAACAGTACGACTCACTAGGATGTTGATTTTCTTAAAAAAAAAAATGTTAGAATTATTTTGTTTTGTTTTTTATTTAAATAAACTCTCTATAGCTTTTGAAAATTTCTAATTTATAGATACAACTTTAACGGAAATTACTTGTATAAATATAAAATTAACATTTGTATAATCAAACGATTAATAAAGTTGATTCTTCATGAAATTGGCAGAATTATTGCTGATTATAATCATTAGGCTGTAGAATTAATTTTGGTACTTTTCATTTGTACCTATTTTATTTTCTTTACCACTCGGAATAGGACATTATATATACCTATATTCATTTGGCTGGATATATATTTTTTTAAACTTAATAAAGTAGGGATTACCTTAGATGTACACAGCATGTATTTAGATCTAATGTCAAACATTTAAAAAATATTTCATTCTAATAACACATATATTCATATACTTATAAAATATCAGGATATCAGTTTTGGTTGGAAATCATTAGCCTACTTTGTTATGAATTCCTTCCATGAAATCTCATATTTTCAGTTATAAACTACTCAATAATAAAAAAAAAAAAAAAGAAGACATTTCTTGTAAGCATTACCCTCATTCGTAATGGCGATTACATGATAAATGTTTTCATTTTAATAAAAAGGACCAGATAAAAGGAGAATATATATATTCTATGTGCTTTATGTACATGCGCTTTTGTGTTTTGTTACTTTTAAAACATTGTGATTTACTAAGTACATCTATACGTATAATGTTACAAATAGGATGCAATGAAAAAAAAATTGGAATGGATACAGCAGTGTCATAGAACGCGTTTTATCACTCTTGAAAAATGCGAATACATGTAATTCATGTTCTTTATGGAGCTCGATCTTTGGAAATATTTTCCAAGACAACAAGTTCTGTTTACATTTCGAATTCGACTTCTTGATTTTTTAAAATTATTTTCCAAGCACTAAGTTTTTTACAAGATTATTTTTTTACCCAAATATATGGCCATTATAAAGAAAAACATGATTATCTTATTATGAAACGAAATTAATCGTCAATCAGGCCCCCTATTATCGAGTACAGATTTTGTTATAGTAATTTTTTTCTTTACATGCTGATTGACCCCAACTCCCAATTTTTTACTGTTGTTAGGTCGAACGCAGGCAAATCCCAGGATATCTTTCGGCTATTTCATGTACCCTTAAATTCTTCAAAATATATTTCAGGCACGTAGCATCAGGAGGGGGCTGCCCCTCTCCTTTTTGTTGTTGTTGTTGTTTTGCAAACAGAACCTACTTCCATTGTAAAATGTCCACTGAAAGCCCCCGTTTTTGTTGTTGAATTAGAATTGAAGGTGCCTCGATCACTACCTCAACGAAATAGGATTTTCGAGATTGAACACTTTACCTTATTTTCCTTGTTAATTATGTTTTTTAGGTAATTTGCCCCCCTCCCCCCACCGCCCCCTCACTTTAAAAAGCGATATTACATATGTATCTGCATATTATAATTTTAAATTGTTAACTCCTTTATATGCGTTTTACTTATTCAAAATAATCTACACTAAACAGACAGAAATTAACCTTAAATTCACATAAGTAAAACGACTCTATAATTTTACTTAATTTTCATGGATACATGTATTTATGTAATCACCACACGTTGTTCAAAATTTAAGACTACATGTACTACTTTTTCACATCCATAGTTATTTCAAAAAATGATATATTCTTTTTAATATTAAAATGAAAGTTAGGCAAATATTTGCTCGTTTTTTTTTTCACTGTTTACTTCTAAAAATGTATCGGGCAAATTCCACAACCCAGATGACAGCAACATTGCTTCAAAATCTCTGTATGAATTGCTAATAACCTTCAATCAAAAGGTATTATTGATGTGTCAAATAACAGTTACTATAAATCGATTAGCGTACAGGTGTCTTTCATTCCAGAACCAGTAGGGAGGAATCTCTCGATATGAAAAGGTCACGCATCCACATCCTTAATTGTTACCAAAGTACACACAGTGGGTGGTGGAGGAGAAGAGTTTGATTTGTTGTTAACTCTCCTGTATTACTTCACGCTGTTTTTTATTTATTTGCCTTTACTATGATAATATAATTGTTTTGAACTTTCAAAAGATATTGCTATATAGAGGAATAACATAAAAACACGCAACTGATAATATATATGCACCCCCCTTTTTACGTTATCTATACATGTGTAGAATGTTTTTAATCGGGGGTGTTAATTTATATGCATATTGTGTGCCTGTCAATTTTTACATGTATAAAACACGTTGTGCATATTCTTAAGAGTCTAGCATAATTCTGAAAGACTGAATCTTTTTTAAAAGATTAATATTGTTAACACATTACTCATCCTCTTGTTTTATAACGTTTCAAGCATCTAAACCACACTGAGCTGTTCTCTAATGAATATTAATGAAATGTGCGCAATGAAGATGCGTCGTATATTATGTCGATGTTGTATTCTCACTTGTGCAGTTTTCGTTTTTACGTTTGTGTAATTTTCTCATTATATCGTGTAAATAATTTTTTGATTGTGTAGTTTTTGTATAGTTTGTGTAAATTTCAATAACTTTGTGTGTATTTTCCGCACTTTGTGGAAGTTTTGACTTACTCGTGTAATTTTTGTTTAAGGTCGTGCAGAAAATACTTTTGAACCAATCGGCGTGCCATACAGGTGACCTAAAAAGATAAGTAATACTTGTGTGTCAATTGCCAAACACTTTAATTGTTACATGTAGTTGGCCCTTATCATTTATACATCCAAATATTGAACAGGTGTGGCAGAGAAGACTGGATGATCCTAGTCCTCATAGTAAGCAAAATATTAAAGTTTTAACAAAACACAGTTTAGTTTGTACTAGCTATTTTTTTTTTAAATTCCATAATAACTTTCCTTGTTTCAGGATCATATCCCTAGTTTTAGTTTAAATGAGCGCCCTTAGACCAAGGGAATTCAGTGACAAATTTGACAAAAATTAGGAAAAGGTCGTAATTTATGGGTTCTTGAAATATGGCCCATATTCCAACAAGAAGCCCAGGGGCCACAGAGCTCACCTGAGCACATCAGCTAGGAAAAAAACACATATAAGATCGGAACTGAAAGTTAACTTAAGTGGGGGGGGGGGGGGCTTGAAATTTACATATGTAACCCCCCAGGGTATCATAATTTCAACGAACTAGAATCTACATTACCTGAGGATGATTCCATATAAATATTACTAATCATGGCTTTGAAATACTTGAAAAGAAGATTTAAAAAGGTTTCCCTATATATTCCTATGTAAAACTTTGATCGGCCATTTTGGCCCTGCCCTACCCCCGGGGGTCATGACTTGAACAAACTTGAATCTACACTACCTGAGGATGATTTCACATGAGTTTCATCTTTCCTGGCCCAGTGGTTCTTGAGAAGAAGATTTTTAAAGATTTTTCCTATATATTCCTGTGTAAAACTTTGATCGGCCATTTTGGCCCCGCCCTACCCCCGGGGGTCATGACTTGAACAAACTTAAATCTACACTACCTGAGGATGATTCTACATGAGTTTCATCTTTCCTGGCCCAGTGGTTCTTGAGAAGAAGATTTTTAAAGATTTTTCCTATATATTCCTATGTAAAACTTTGATCGGCCATTTTGGCCCCGCCCTATTCCCGGGGGTCATGACTTGAACAAACTTGAATCTCCACTACCTGAGGATGATTCCACATGAGTTTCATCTTTCCTGGCCCAGTGGTTCTTGAGAAAAAGATTTTTTAAAAATGCCATTAATTTTTCTCTAATTCATGATTATCTCCCCTTGGAAAATGGCGTGGCCCTTCATTTGAACAAACTTGAATCCCCTTTGCCCAAGGATACTTTGTGGCAAGTTTGGTTGAAATTGGCCCAGTGGTTCTTGAGAAGAAGATAAAAATGTGAAAAGTTTACAACGACAACAACAACAACGACGACAGACGACGGACAAAGTTTGATCAGAAAAGCTCACTTGAGCCTTCGGCTCAGGTGAGCTAAAAAGTTTATGCACAACATCAACACACAAATGGCCATTGCATTAGCTCTGAACATTTGGCTCAGCATAGCTAGGTAATAACTAATAGGGAAAAACCAGTAAAGAAGATTCAGTTGAGAAAATTTGAGAACAGATATATAATCAACAAGAAACATATTGACGCAAGCGTCAAAAATCGGCCGCAAACCAATTAATTAATTCTTTCATATAATAAATTAGAAACTGAATTCTTATATTTATCTGTTAATTAATATATATCCCTGTGACATTAAACATTTGAATGCGACATCCCAAGATTTTCTTCAGTACATAATACATGTACATTGCTACATGCAAAATGTATTTAAGGACGTTCGATCCTGAGTTTTTGAGTGGATTTTGGTCATGTCTTTTATTCATAAAATTCTGCATCATTTTTAAATTCTAACATTAGATCTGAATTCTACAATGCAAATTGAACTATATTCAATGAAAAAACCGCGATTAAATTCCATTCAAGTTGAATTAAACTAGGGACTATATTTTGTGGCGGAAGGTTTTTGAGACGAAAAACATCAGTTTTTTCCCTTTTGAACTAAAACAGTACTCTTTATTTTGGATTCCTATTTTTCCATGCTGGTTGCACACAAAGCTGTTTTTTGCAGTAAAATGTGTCATACTGGTTCTGAAATATCTATTAAATTATTTCTTATGAATTCTATCGACAAAGTGTGACAAACATAGTAAAAAATATTCTGAAAACCCGGGAAAAAAATTGAGCCAAATTTAACGTAAAATTGACACTTTTTTAGTAATATCTGAAAATTAACATCATATACCCCCTCTTTTGATGTTCTTTTCTAAATATTCAAGGTAAATTTGACCTATTTGCTTAAATTCAGAAAAAGTTTAAGACTTAAAAATAATTTTCTTGCTTATTAAATTTTCAATGCCAGAAAAATAACATTTTATTAGTGCAGAAAAGTCAAATAATTGATTATGCGAAGTAATTTGAAACTTTTTCTTAGTAACAATTTTAAAGTGTCTCTTCTTAAACAGACTTAGAGTTCATTTTGTTTCTTGCTTTAATTGGATGAAGATATTGCAGGGAAAACATCGAAGGTGTAGTTTTTAATTAAGACACAAATTTCAGTGCAAGAAGGTCATATTAAATGTATTGTAGCGCCAAAAGAAGCATATTGACCCCCATTTTTTGATTTGAATTTTAATTAAGCTATGTATGTAGAAACTAAAAATATACTTGGCAAAAAAAGTTTAAGACTTTACATATCAGGATCGAACGTCGTTAAGCAACTTACTCATAGCCCTCTGCGTTCCCGCACTCAGTAAGTTTAATTAATTGGTACTATAAACGAACTCTGGCGGAAGTTTGATGTTTAAGTAGTTTTAACACTTAACCATTTAAACTAACGTTTAAACTTATCTAACTAGAGATAGTTTAACATTAAATAAAACGTAACAACTATGTGAGGCTCCTCGCTCACTCAGAGGATGTTGAAACCCCCAACTCCCTCTAAATCCGCCACTACATTTCTTCTCTATCTTGTTTTGGTGTGAGATGTGGCGGGAAAAGGCTTGGCATGTTGTAAAACGCGCTTTATCCTTCAGTTGTCTGTTGGAGAAAAATCTCCTAATATTCTGTCTGATAATAAATTAAGATTAAGTCATATTTTTGAAAATTTTCTGTATTAAAAGTACATTGTATATTTGTATTTACACGTCATTTTAAATTATATATATACAACAAATCCTGTTGAAGTAGAGAAAGTAAAATTTGTTTAGACATTATATAACGCAGTCCTTGCTTTAGACTATGCCCATATGTGAGCATATTTCTCCGCACTTCAGTTACGTAGGAGTTTGTCAATTAGGATTGGATGAAACATTTAACCCATTATTCATAAAATTTTTATTTTATGATTATTATGCGTTTTTATATTACATTTAGACACTCTTTCTTAATATTCTATTACATGAATGTTAAATATTTTTTATTCAAATTGTTCTAACTCCGCAGAAACGCACGGCGACTTAAAACTTTCATATCATATAACCGACCGCCTGCTGGCGGCCGGTAATAAATGAAGAGAGAACAATGTACCTGTGCCCTCTGTGTGAAAGACATAAAAATAGACAAGAATATCATTAAAAGGAGAGCTGGCTTTGATGGTCCATCGACAGTAGGTCCTGCTTTGGTATTTCTCTGGGAATCCTGGACTCACTATTATACCTCCTGTCCCAGGGCTGATTATTTTACCCCCACAATCTGTAATGAAAATAGTTTAAACTTCTATAGTCATTTACATTTATTAATTAATAACTACGACCATTATCAAAATAATTACACATCCTATGGTAAAAGAGAAACTTAAGAAGAGGCCAAATGGTCTCTGAGGTCAACAAAACTTAAAAAATTGTGAATTATCTGCAACCATGTGCCAAATAATGCTACACATTTTAAAAATCAAATTCTTTGAAATCATTTTATAATACTTTGAAGTAATTTTTACACTAAAAATATTCCAATAATCAACAAAAAAGCCTATTTGGGCCACAAAACTCATGAGTCACCTTGACTCTTTTTCTTCATCAGAAGATTTTAAGATTTTTTCCCTTAAAGTAAAATGTTTACCTAATATTGAGGTCCCACCCTAGTTACATGTACTAAGGGGTCATACTTCACCCCTCTACATGTATATATATGCATATGGAGATGATGAATATAAATGTGAATAACTTCAGGGTTGCCCTTAAGAATTGAAATAGCAGGGGACATAAAAAAAAGAAAGAAGGGGGTCTTGGGTCTCTCCCCCTAACAGGAGGTTGGGGGATAATATCAGTATTACAACAGTCAAGGGGCTTATCATTATAATATGGGGGAATTCTCAGGTCTAAGGATAACCCTTAACTTGGCCTTGCTTTCCTTGAGATGTTAAATATTTTTACTGTATTTAACAGTATTTTAGATATAATGTGTAAAAATTGATGCCCTATGATTCATAATTGAATCCATAGGACTTGTTGAAGCCTGCATATGTAAATAAATAAAATAGTCCTTGCTTTCCTAAAACAAGAGGCCCAGGGGCCACAGCGCTCACCTGAGCACATCGGGCTTGAATTTAACCCCCCCGCCCCTAGGCATTCATCATTTGAACAAACTAGAATCTACACTACCTGAGGATGATTCCATATAAATATCACTAGTCATAGCTTTGAAGTACTTGAAAAGAAGATTTTAAAAGATTTCCCTATATCCCTATGTAAAATTTGGGTCGGCTATTTTTGCCCCACCCTAGCTCCGGGGGTCATGATTTGAACAAATTTGAATCTACACTACCTGAGGATGATTCCACATGAAATTCATCTTTCCTGGCCCAGTGATTCTTGAGAAGAAGATTTTTAAAGATTTTTAAAGATTTTTCCTATATATTCCTATGTAAAACTTGGGTCGGCCATTTTGGCCCCACCCTAGCCCTGGGGGTCATGATTTGAACAAATCAATTTTTTCAAATTCAATTTTGCAACAGTAAAACTTTGAATTTGTATTTTATCACATATCTAGTTTCACCTTGACACAAATTTGAAATAAGGGATTTAATGGTCACTTGACATGAGATTTCAAGAGCCATAATGCAACAGTTGAACTTCTTTATCTCAAACACTGATATCTCAAATACAAGGAATATGTTATTAGTAGGGATGCCAAGGAATAATCGACTATTTGACTAAAAGAGGAATGGACTGACAATTGAAAAATTCAATTTCATTTACTCATAACATTGCATTTATTTGATGTTGCGTCTTTAAATAGATTTAGGTAAATAGGTTTTTGAGTTATAAATAAGTAATGTACCTGCATGATGTAATTCTCATGGGAATGTTTCACACCTTCGTTCATGATGTTTTGCTTACATTAACCAAGTGCAGTAAGTCACATATTGATAGAGATTTCCAGTATTGCGAGAGCAAAATGAAAGAAAAATGGCAGTTTCCAGTCCTGTGAATTTTGGTGTGCAGCCGTGAGCCGTGAATGGGGTCAAAAATACATGACATTTTGTGTACCGCCAGTATATATCACATGCATGGTTTTATGAAAAGTGATAGGGTTCTGGAGAAGAAGTTAAATGAGAAAAGTTTACAAAAGGCAGAAATAGATGTGAAAGGATGAAAATAACTGCTTGCATGTGACCTAAATTTTGAAATGCATACAACACCAAAATGCTTGCATAATAACATGACTACTGTAGATTCCTATATATATGCGTAAAATTGATTATAACGTATTTTTGCGAGAAGCACCACATTGGAAATAAAATTACTTGCTTTTATTTTTATAGAGCTGAAATAAATGTAAAATCTCTTGATCAACAGATCATTCTCGAATTATTATTCTCGCACATTGCCGTTGAAGAGCCCATTCATGATAATAAGTACTCAAGAAAATAAGGAATTTACAGTAATCATAGCCCTTTTCACAATCTTTTCCTTTCATTTCCAATTTTTTTGCCCCATCTTTATCCAAGGGGTTCAAGATGTCAAAGACTTTTTTCTATACTACCTTAGGATACATGATTGATATATAACTCTCAAGTTAAGATAAGAAATCTTTCTTTCAGTGTTTTTTTTCTTTTCTAGACATGCTGTCTATATTACATCTGAAATAATACAGGTACTTACAGTGTACAAATGTTTACTGCTAAAAACCAGCTTACTTGTATTCAGGGAGTCTGGATGAACAAACTCATATCTGGCTTCAAATCCTGTACTGTTTTTGGAATTCCATCTTGAAATAAACTTGATTTCTAGTTGTTTTTCTGCCAGAATGGGGCCAGGGAATTGCCTTCCACAATGCTTTACAGAATACTTGTCTCCAACACTTCTGCCAGAATGAAATATCTCCAGATAGTCGTTGTTTTCACATCTACAATAAAACCAAGACTTACCAGCCATGTTTAGGGAGGTTCAGTTTGTTCTATGCCAAAATGTGGTTCCCAAAAATACAAAAATACAACTGGTAAAGAATTTTTTAACACCAAGAAAATGAAGATTTCATGAAGAAACCATAATTACTACTTGTATAAACAAGGAGGTTAGATTATCAGAAGACATGCAGGACAGATTACTTTAATGCACATCAAACTTTTAAGGCCATTCCAAGTTTTTTCTACGTTTATGGAGTCAGTCCGACACATCTTTCAAAACTAACCTACCTACCTATTGGCATAAAACATAAGCCAAAAAATAAAACAGACTTAGTTGTCACAAAAATGACAGCATTCAAAAGATTTATATTTATTAATTTATTATTCTAGATCTCACAAACATAGGTATAATCAGAGATTATAGAGCTCACCTCAATGAATGTTGTCTATAAGTAAGGCAAAGTACCACATTTAGAAGATGACATCCACATCTCAAAATGCAAAATTTATGCAATTTTATTTTAAAAGGTTTGCAGTTACTAAGGAATAGACTTATTCAAACACTTAACTTTGAAGTCACCAATCAAAAAAATGAAATTCAAATCCACCATCTGTAAAAAGTTCAAGCGTTCATCCCTTGATGCATTAGAAAGTTTGAGAGTGTTCATCCCTTGATGCATCATCCATGCAAGTTTGGTTAATATAGGCCTTATAGTTTCTAGGTGATAGACCTACACCCATGACTTTAACCTTGTCTATTAGGCCAGCATCTTTTTATTTTTTAGGTTTACAAATATCATGAGAATGAAAAATTCTTGTATGAGGAGGAAATAAAAAAAATTAATTTTGATAAATTACTGACTTTTGTACATTAATTTTTGCTTCTGTTTTGATGCTCTCCTAACATGCTCTTTGCCACTGGACACATAATGGTTACAAAGGGGAAAGTAGAACCTTTAATTGTTTATTTCAAATTGGCATCTGCCAGTTGGGGCCAGTGATGTAAATTTTGTGATGTTGGTCAAAATACAGATTTTAAAAAAAAAATTTAATTTTAAAAAAAAATCTTTCAATATACTTGTTTTTTTTTTTAATAGTTGAAATATTTTATTTCTTTAGGCTATTGATTATTTCTTCCTCAAATGGACTTAACTTCTCCCATAGATTTATTCATTACATCTGATGCATAAGCAACCCTTTTCTGAAAAATGATGCTTAGACTGCAAGCTATAATAGAAACCTAAACAATGCCTCTGGCAATAGCTACCATGGGCAGTTTTAAACCTGCATGAGGGAGGATATCATTTACAGACAGATACTTCTGAATATGAATACATAATTATCTCACCAGCATGTCATTGTGCAACAAAGTCGTCAGTATTTTAATTATTTGTCCTCTGAACGGGTGAAACATTTTGAATGGCACTCCTACCGATAAATATTTACATTAAACCAAGCTATGGTGCTGCTATGGACTTTTCAGATCTACCTTTATCAACCCGCCATGTTCATCTTAAAACCGGAAGAACGCATTTGTAAATTTGAAATCTCGATTCCGGCTCAAATTTGACTTCGGAAAGAAAAACTCTGATTTTCTCAATTTTATTTTTTTTTCCTGAAAATTCATCTGGAAAATGTTGGTCAGATCCAGCATCTGAAGCAAGCCTGGTAGTATGCAATCTTAGATGTATCATCCATGCAAGTTTGGTCAAAATAGACCTTATAGTTACTTGGAATTAAGATCTACACCAAACTTAAACCTGCACCAAAAATGTTAAACTGCACAGTGCTGTTAAGGGTTACTATAATGAAGAAATCAAAGGATATCATGCAAAAATCTTTTTTGAAGCTTTCTTGATGAGAAAATAGAAGCGGGGAGTTTGAGCTTTCTAAATGTGAACAACCATCGTTAGATGATGTCCCAATTTTTTTTATGACATCTGAAATCAATAAGACATTCAATATAATAAATACTGCATGTTTTTCAGGGTAATTAACAGCTGAAATCCCTCAGAAAACCATTGTCAACCTCCACTGACGTGTTGGTTGACAAAGATTTTCCTTGGAATGTCAATTTCAACCCATAAAAATGTGCGCTATTCATATAATGGTAAGATTCATTGACCCAATTCCAGAATATGATATATCCGAAATATCATCTTTTAAAAGAATTTTAAATTTAAGGAAAATGTTTTTTAAATTTCCAAAATTTCTGAAAGTGTAAACATAAATTTAAATATGTGATTAATTGCAATAAACCAAAAAAAAAAAAGATGATTATTCCACATAAAAAAAGATGTGCTTGTGAAACACTGATGCCCCCATATGGCAACTTATGGTGAGGGTTGAATTCTCTCAAATGCATGTCAAACTCTAAAGGTCAAGGTCAAAAGTGTTGGTACCCAAAGGAAGGTCTTGTTACAAAGAATACATCTGTGAAATATGAAAGCCCTTAAGGCTATTACTAACTGTTCAAAAGTTATGACCAAGGTTAAAGTTTTTAAAAAGTGGGCCAAACTCTTAGGTCAAGGTCAAAAATATTTATACCAGCTGAAAGGTATTGTCAAAATAAATACACATGTGAAGGATGAAAGCCCTAGCTATAACTGTTCAAAAGTTAGGGCCAACTTAAAGTGTGGTATTGATTCATACAAAATGATGACAGGGTGAATTTATCGCAAATCTTGCTTCAAAGTATACACTTGGACTGATATACTGATGCAGTGAGTGACGACACTGATGAATCTGACTGAAATACAATTGCGATATCCAACAAAGAGTCTGATTGGTGCTTTTATATAGGCCCGCCCACTTTCTCATGGACACAGCTGTAAACAAGTGGTAGGCCTCTACTTACTGTGCGAAGTATATAGTGGACCTATGTAATACCTTATTAAATTATTGTGGGTGGGTAACCTGTATAATGATCTTCAAATTAATAAAATCCAATCCAGGACTGGCAGAAGTTGACTTAAAATGATACACGTCACCTGGGGCATATTTTTGTGATTGAAGAACGAGGCTGTTTTCCGGTTTTTTCTTTAGTACATCAATAAAATTAAACGTACTTAAATTTGGAAAATGTATCAGTGATATTGATAATATTCGCCATTACAGTAAAAAGTGCACTGCATGAAAAACCTGAAGTCTCTGTCGAGACTGTAGCTCTACTGGTTTGTACTGATCAAAAACCGATGCACAGAATTATGTAGCTTAGTTTAGTCTACTTGTGTGATAAGTTATATTGAAATCAGACCAAAACTGTCGTAGCATTTTAAAGGAATTCCACAGAAAATTCTATTTTTAGTAACCATGGCAACACCGTTCATTGAAATCAAAAACTGATGCACTATTATACGTAAATTAGTGTAGTCTACTTGTGTGCCAAGTGATAATGAAATCAGACAAAAACTGTAGAAGGAGTAGCGTTTTATAGGAATTTCTCAGAAAATTCTATTTTTAGTAACCATGGCAACATCGCTCATCGATACTGATTCTTTAGCACTTATACAGTGAAGTTAGGTCTTTAGACCCTTAAAACATCAGTGAAGGTTTGGTGTCTCTACGGTCTATGGTTTTGAAGGAGTAGCGATAACAAGGTTTTTCGCACAAGGGACAATAACTTTTAAAAGGGTCATTCCCATAGGACAAGAATAAAATCTTAAAAAGAGTATTGAGAGTGCATGTTACAGACAGAAGATAGATAGTATATGTTTAAGGATATAAGAGCTATTGAAAGAAATTTATTCCTCATATTTAGAATGACCTTGACCTTGAAATTAATTTGAAGGTCAAAGGTCAATGAATCTTATGCAGTTGGTCCCATGTCTCTTTCACTTCTCGTTTTGAAAATTTTTAATTATTTCTAAAATTAAAAAAGTTTCAGGGGCAATAACTCATTGAAGGGGTCACCGAATACTTTCGCAATGAATAGATTCCAGAGTCCTCTCAATTAGTCGAAGACTTTAGTGAAGGTTTCATATTTCTTCAGTTTACGGTTTCGAAGGAGTAGCGATAACAAGCATTTCTTGTGAAAGGGGCAATAACTTCGAAAGCCGTTAACGATCAAACATGGGGGGTCGTTTTTCGAAATAACTTTTAATATCCAATATCATGGACTATAAAGTTTTTCAATAAGTCTTGAGGTTTCAAAAGTTCGGGTAGAAAAATAATAATAAACACTAGGAGACTTATTGTTCACAGAACAATAAGAGGTCTTTCCACCTTCTTTGAATTTTTCAAATTTGTTTTATATATGACTCCTTAAAATTAAATTCCATGAATAAGAAACCAAAATTGTCTAAAAGGGTAGAAAAAATGAAAATAAAAAAAAATTGAAATGACCTTGACCTTTGACCTTGATAATATTTTCAAGATCAAATGTCAAGGGTCACAATGCAACTGACCCCATGCTTCTACGACTTATAGTTTTCAAGTTATAAGGCTTTATATTAAGTACAAAGAAGTTAAAGGGCAATAACTCATATAAGGGGTCATCAGATCCTTTCGCATTTATACAGTGAAGTTAGGCCTAAAGACTCTTAACACATTAGTGAAGTTTTGGTGTCTCTCGTTCTACGGTTTTGAAGTAGTAGCGATAACAAGGTTTTTCGCATAAGGGGCAATAACTTTAAAAAGGGTCAATCTTCAAGGACAAGAATGAAATCTTTGAAATAGATTTAAGGGTACATATTAAAAATGCAAAGACTGATTGTATATGTTAAAAGACAAAAGAGATATAAAAAGAGCTTAATTTCTCATTTTTGGAGTGACTTTGACCTTTGTATAAATTTTAAGGTCAAAGGTCAATAAATCTTATGCAGTTGGTCCTATGTCTCTACGACTTCTCATTTTGAAAAATTTTAATTATTTGTAAAATTCAAAAAGTTTCAGGGGCAATAACTCAGAGAAGGGGTTTACAAATCCCTTCGCAATGAATAGAAGAAGAGTCTTCTCAATCAGTCAAAGACTTTAGTGAAGGTTTCATATCTCTATGGTTTACGGTTTAGGAGTAGTAGCGATAACAAGCATTTCTTGCAAGAGGGGCAATAACTTCGGAAAGAGTCAAGGTTCATTCACGCAGGGTCAACTGCGAAAATCTTTTACGGAGTACATTCTTATGGACTATAAATCTCTTCGATATATCTTGAAACTCAAAATCACACGGCGGAAAAATAAGAAGAATAACTAGGAGACTTATTGTTCACAGAACAATAAGAGGTCTTTCCAGCTTTTTAAGTGTTTCCGTGTCATTCGGGTTGAAAAAACGAAGAAAAACGCAAAAAAAAATAAAGAAAATAAAAAAAAAAAATAAAAAAAAAAATAAGGTGCTCCAGCAGGATTCGATCCCTGGACCCTCTGATTAGTAGGCGAGCGCTCTAACCACTACGCCACGGGTTCCGTTGAATTTGTGTTGTATTATTGTCGAGTTAAAGTTAACGGAATTTCCTTGATTCATTGACCAGTCAAAGAGTTCCAGTTGAGACACTTCTGACAAGCTCCTGGGAGTATATGTGAGTTTGAATGAGATTGTTTTCGAGTTAAAATGTAAGGGATAGGGTCCGATTACAATTATGATATTGGTATTAACGGGGATACATGCATTTGAGGTTGCGTAGCAATTTCTGTATTTGAAAAAGGCCGCGTTTGTTTTGACAAATATGGTCAATTCATAGGTAAGATTTAATAATCATTTCTATTTGAATTGAATTCATAGTTACCAGCATAAATTAAACTTGAAACATGCATCTCAAAAAAAAAAAAACAAAAAAAAAAAAACGGTGTCATTGAGAGCGTGGAAATTTATTTGACAGGAAAAATCGCAATTTTCGAGATTCATTCCAACAATATTAAATCTAAATAAAATTGAAATAAATTCCACTTACTAAAGAAAGCAAGAATATTTGGTATCGAAATATCGTATTAGAGCAGGAGAATCGAGTGATATTAACAACAATCTAAGAAATGGCCAATACTAGCTTTAATTGATTTTTATACTCAGCAAGAATTAAATTTCAGACAGAAAAAAATGTAGATTTGTCCGATATTTACTAAAATTTAATTGTACTTAAGAGACTCACCGTAAAACTCTCAGGGCACTTTCTTTGAGGTGTCTTCTACATGCTAAACTGAATTTTATCTTGATCTGTGATGTCTTTTGAGTTGTAGAAAAATTTTCTATGCCGCTATTGATTTTTTTTTTTTAAGAGAAATGGGGGGGGGGGGGGGGTTGTATTATATAAGTGTTTGTTGACGTGACAGTTATAAATACCTCCACATAATTAAGCTTGATTGTGACCTTTGGGTCAAAGGTCAAGGTCATTTATCAAGGTCAAAGGTCAAGGTCATCCAAAAAAAAAAAGCACTTAGCCTTATAAACTTGAGTTTTACACTTGAAGCTGAATCTAGGTAAAGATAATGAATATATCCTTTTAAACTTTTGAGAAAAGGTCAATGGTCAAGGTCAAATATCAAGGTCAAAGGTCAAGGTCATTTTAACCAAAAGCCCGTAAATAAGCAATTTTAATACTTTCCCAATGACCTTGACCTTTGACCTTGACCTAATATTCAAGGTCAAAGGTCAAAAGATCTCATGCAGTTGGGCCCATGTCTTTACGACTTGTCGTTAAGAAAGTTTTTAGTTCTTTGTAAACATCATAAACTGCCAGGGGCAATAACTGCATAAAATGTTTACGAATTCTTTCGCACTAATAGGATGAGAAGTGTACTAAATTAGTCGCAGACATTTTTGAAGGTTTTGTACCTCTACGGTTTACGGTTTCGGAGGAGTAGCGATAACAAGGGTTTACACTGAAAGGGGCACTAACTTTTAGAGGGTTCAATCTTAGGGGACAAGCATGGAATCTCTGAAATGGTTTTAAGAGTACATACTAAAGATGCAAAGAAGTTTAGAATTTGGTAAAGAACAGAAGAGCTATAAAAAATGCTGAATTTTACCTATTTTGAATGACCTTGACCTTTGACCTTGACCTAGATTTTAAGGTCAAAGGTCAAGAAATCTTTTGCATTTGGCCCCATGTCTCTACGCCTTGTCGTTTTAGAAAAATTCTTGATATTTGTAAACATCGCAAACATTCAGGGGCAATAATTCATTATAGGAGTTTATGAATCCTTTCGCAATGTTTGATTGGAGAGTCTACTAAATCAGTCGTAAACATTAATAAAGGTTTGGAATCTCTGCGGTTTATGGTTTCGGAGGAGTAGCGATAACAAGCTTTTATTGCGAAAGGGGTCGTAACTCCGAAAGGGGTCAAAGTTCATATACGCAGGGTCAACTGCAAAAATCTTTTATGGAGTACATTTTTATCGACTGAAAATCTTTTCGATAAATCTTGAAACAAAAAATCACACGGCGGAAAAATAATAAAGAAAAAGGAAAAAAAGAAACAGAAGAATATCAATAGGTCTTTCCAGAGAAAGCTGGAAAGACCTAATAAGAAACAGAAGAATACCAATAGGTCTTTCCACGAAAGGTGGAAAGACCTAATAAGCATTTCAAGAGGTCTTTCCACAGAAAGGTGGAAAGACCTAATAAAATGAAAATAGGTGTGTCATCAAACGCTATAAACATGTACCATCTGTGAAAGGAATATATCACATGCTAAAAAGTGATTTTTTAGTTTGTTTGTTTGTTTGTGTATTTTGTTCAAAAAGTCACCATCGGTTTTCGACAATCACAAGGCCGTTGGACGCTTTCCAACTTAAATAGGCAAAGGATACTGTACGAGAGTGGGCGGGTCCTAATCAACCAATTAAATCGCTTGTTTTATAGAATGAACAGGTGATTCAAATTGTTCAATTGTCAAATCCAATAGTGTCAACACTCAAGGCAATGCTATTTCGGCCGCAGTGTAATACTTTTGAGCGAGATTTGCGATAAAACAAGGCAAAATTGTCTGCAAGTGTGAAAAGGTGAAAATAACCCGGTATACAGTAGTATATAGCCTTATGAATATGATTGCCTTATTATAACAGACTGTAGAATTCTCCACCTACGCTGTATCTTTATCTCCCAGAAAGAAGGTATAAAATGAGATGAGGATTTGCTCGCCAGGCTCTGGACGGAATATATATCTACAGTGTGTGTTGTCAGGGTAACGCAAAGGGTGGTGTGGGGAGTTAAACGTCCCTGACTTGGTCGACTTGCTGTCATACAGGTACGTACACTTCCCCTCCTCCACATTCTCTCCTGGGATACCGTAATCTGAATCAAACGATAATCAACAGAATTCTTCAGGTTATAATTCATATACATCAATTGCTTTTCACTACTAGTAAACAGTATAAAACTCAACATTAAATTTGAGAGAAGGTACTGTAGAAGTACTTTTTTCTGCGTGGTATTAATTTACATGATGGTCACAAACTTTCCGCGGAAATTTGTCCAAGCAAACTTAATATAAATGTAAGGCATATAGTGACAGTATAAGAAATCCCCGTGATTTTCTACCCGCGAATTAAACAGAAATTGATTCCGCGGAATTATGACCCCGTGGAAAAAAGTACGTCTATAGTATACAGAAATAAGTATAAAATTACATGATGAGATAAAGATCTAATTCAAATCCATATTTCCTTTCTATTGTTAATCAACATATTAAAACACAGTTTTTATCAGTAAACTATTAACTAGGTCAGGTACTTCTAAGATGAGTACCTTTTCGTAGACACTGCAACAGAGGTTATATTTTCACTGAAGTGAATATATTTATAGGTAGAAAAGAAATTTTCTCTGATAATTTGTGTACATGCACTATTGTAAATAAAAAGAGACATGGCAGTAAAGAAATAATTCAATTTTCTTCAATTTATATGTTTATATACATGTATACAATGTGATTTCATAGTCTCCTTGATATTAAACTCTGCATTATAGTAATTTTGTCTCTCCTGTACCATCAGAGACAGATACAGACGTAGTCAGATCATTGATTTTCTTCCTCTAAGGACATGAGTCTATAATCTACAGTACAGGGTTGCAGTAATTTTCACAGAGATTTCTCTAGTCGGTAATAACCAACTTAAAGCAGTGAGTGCTGAGTAGTAACTAGCTATCACGTGTTACAAATGGATCAGACAACTGACCCTGCTAGACCCAAGTAGAATTAGTTTACCCTTTAAAGAGATATCACAAGAAAGTGTTTTGGGCATTGTAACAATTCTAATATGGCATCATTCACAGCAGAAAAAAGACAGGAAGCAATAATTAATTAGCATATTTTGACATAGATGTACACTCGTAATATAAGACTATTTTAATACTGAAAATTGCTTTTCAGTCATGAGAGCTTTATTTTTACTTGAATTGCACATGAGTTTCCTTTAAAAAAAATTATTCTGGCCTTAAGACCTTACATTTTCGTCTTGGGCCTACAGCAAAACTTGCTTAGTACAAACACGGATATTGCAAATTTACGGATATAGCGAAGTCATCTTGGATCCCCAGCTATATAAATTTAATGAATTTCTTATACAGTTATAGCAAAGTAATTTCATAGGTCTCAGTGACTTCGCTATAACCGAGTTTTGCTGTAAAATATTGATTACTACAGGTTACATTATTACTAATAACATTTAAGCATTTTTGAAACTAGATAATTATCTATTTATTCCAACACCTAATTTTTGTGAGATTGTTAATTGAGAAAAAAATTGATGAACTGTAGGTTATTTATGGATTTGTTAAAATACCGGTGATCTTTAACAATACATTTACAAAATATAGATTACCTGGTATGAACTCATAGTAAGCACTAAATCCTCTGCCTTCACGAGCATTATCAGTGTTGAATATTAGGACTAATCGTGACCTTTTGCTGCTGGTGTCGGGGGGAAGATATGGTCCACAGTAACGTTCTTTGAACACCCTGGTGTCTTCTCTACCCTCCTCATCCACAGCTACATAGCCAAAATTACAACTACAAAGAGGATCAAAAAATCCCAAAATTACACCTTCAAAGAGGATCCCAAAATTACACCTACAAAGAGGATCCCAAAATCCTAAATTACACCTACAAAGAGGATCACAAAAACCTAGATTAAACCTACAAAGAGGATCACAAATTTACACCTACAAAGAGGATCCTAAAATTACTTCTACAAAGAGGATCATAAAATCCTAAACACCTACTAAGAGGATCACAAAATCCCCAAATTACACCTTCAAAGAGGATCCCAGAATTACACCTACAAAGAGGATCCCAAAATCTTAAATTACACCTACAAAGTGGATCCCAAAATCCTAAATTACACGTACAAAGAGGATCTCAAAATCCTAAATTACACCTACAAAGAGGATCACAAAAACCTAGATTAAACCTACAAAGAGGATCCTAAAATTACTTCTACAAAGAGGATCATAAAATCCCAAACACCTACTAAGAGGATCACAAAATCCCCAAATTACACCTTCAAAGAGGATCCCAAAATTACACCTACAAAGAGGATAACAAAAACCTAGATTAAACCTACAAAGAGGATCACAAAATTACTTCTACAAAGAGGATCATAAAATCCCAAACACCTACTAAGAGGATCACAAAATCCCAAAATTACACCTGCAAAGAGGATCCCAAAATCCTAAATTACACCTACAAAGAGGATCCCAAAATCCTAAATTACACCTACAAAGAGGATAACAAAACCCTAGATTAAACCTACAAAGAGGATCCTAAAATTACACCTACAAAGAGGATCCCAAAATTACACCTACAAAGAGGATCCCAAAATCACACCTACAAAGAGGATCCCAAAATTACACCTACAAAGAGGATCACAAAATCACACCTACAAAGAGGATCCCAAAATTACACCTACAAAGAGGATCACAAAAAAACACCTACAAAGAGGAACCCAAAATTACACCTACAAAGAGGATCCCAAAATTACACCTACAAAGAAGATCACAAAAACCTAGATTAAACCTACAAAGAGGATCACAAAATCCCAAATAGCACCTACTAAGAGGATCACAAAATCCCAAATAGCACCTACTAACAGGTCGGAGAGAATACTAGAAATCGGGTATTATCCGTGAAATCACGTATAATACTCGATATTAGGGTATCGTTGAATCCGCGAAATCGGGTATAGGAGGTGTAATCACCTAATAAAACTTAAACAATAGGATGGCGCATGTTGCCGAGTTAACTTTCATCTAGATACACGTTTTCTAAAGGTATCACTAGCCAAGTAAGAATTTGGGCGTCAAGATTAATGCGCTCGGGACAACAAATACCCGTGGAGCTCAGTACATTTCATGATCTGCACACAAAAAAAGGCGTTCGATTTGCTTTACATTTTTCCTTATGTTGAAAGTATATGCATCTTCCTTAAACGTTCATTCCCAACACAACAGAATTGTAAAGTATCAGAATTCGGGAATTTATAATAATTCCACATCAACACGACAAACATGAACAATTTGTAAATAAATCAAATTATACGGAAACACGTTTCACACACCAGATATGATGCCATGTATAAACAAGGGATTGTCTTTCGTATCTAATTATGTGTCATTAATTACTTTCACATTCATCTTGTGCATAAAATCAAATTTATTTATGAATGTATAAATAATGTAATGATAATAATGTCTAAAATTTTGGCTAAAAGAACCCTCTTTCTCTTTTTTTGAAAAGCTTTTCTTTTTTATTTATCATTCAAACATATTGTAGAATATGTCTTCAACATTTTAGCAGAGACAGTGATAGTTTCAGGAATACAGCTTATGAGAGAACATAACTGTTGATCGTTTAATTTCGCTAAGTCATCAATATTTTACCATTTCTTTGCGACTTCAAAGGGGGGGGGGGGGGGCAAAAGGCTTATTGACCACCTCTGACAAAACAACCACGACTGTGTTCTAAATGTGTCCAAGAGACCTCTCTTTGAATTTCACGGTCGGTTAAACCCGGTCATATATTTTTAATCGTAGGGAAGATTTATTCATATACATTGTAGGTATACAAAAAGCAACCTGTTATTTTCTAACACAATATGAGACTACAAGTAACTAGAATTCAGGTTTATTTTTTAAACACATTTTTTCATTATAGATGAGTATTAGGAAAAGTTATTGCCATGAGTAATACATATCATAGATAAATTAAAAAGAAAACTGTGACATATTGTTTAGAACCAATCAGATAGTGCGTTGTATTAGCATATTATAATGTGGTATAAGATAGCGATATAAAAAAAATATAGAAAGTTAAGAGTTAAGATTTACCCTGTCTATCAAATAGTATAATAAAGAAAGGAAGTGGCTATGATTTTTATGAAATTTTAATGTCCTATGAGGAATTATATTCCCAAAAAGTAAGACAAGAGTTTCCAAGGCAATTGAACACTCCATTATTTCAGTTTGTTCATAAACATGTTCATAAACGTAAAAACTATAAGAAATGTGAAAACTTGACTATGTAATTCATATTTCAGTATGACTGTACCTTGATCTACATTGAGAAATTCAATGTATTATAAGCTCATGAAAAGATGTACACATTTGACTTTTATTTATACCCCCCCCCCCCCCAAAAAAAAAAAACAACTAGAAAATCCTGTTCATATGACTTCTCGCTCTCAATTTTCTCACAAATGCATAAAATAAAGGTAAAATAGCATATCTTGTATCGTTTAAAATGCAACCAAAATTTACGGTGTCTTTGAATAATCAAAGTACTGAAAGTACTGAAAAGGGGTTAGCATGCTTTCATCGAACATGTACAGTGTACAATAACAAAAAATGCATTGAATGATGATATTAAAGTAGGCATGCATATCTTTTTTCCAGTGTCATCAGCGAAGAAGCAGACACACTGAATTTTGTAGTACTTAACTAAATGGTATAACCAATAACATCCCAGACTGATGTCACAAATGTTTGTTTCAAAATATCAACCTGAGATTTTCAGTTTGAAAGACAGGAAGTTCAATTTCAAAAATTTCTCCCTAATTGTCTCCATTGGTGGCGTCCAAAAGTGCTCAGAACGAAAAAAAATTATGTTGATGTTGCAAATTTAACTGGCTTTCATGCTCTATTGATTCTGAAATTAGGTACCTGTAAAGGCTACTATAGCAAACAACTCAAAAAGAAAATAAAATGATAATTCAAATTCTTTAGATTAATTGATTTGGAGTACTGTACATAGATCTTTAGCTGGCTAGTCTGAGAAAAACGGATGGACGAGCAGAGAATTAATTAATTTCAGAGAGCTTCAGTTTCGTAGGCTCACTGCCGGTCAGCAGGTGTGACCTGTCATTGGGGATGCTTACTTCTCCTAGGCACCGGAACTTTCAAGGATCTGTTTTTCTTTTGAGACCGATCACTGTTCATTCTTTTTTTTTGATACAGATACTGAGTACATCTGTTTATTAATATTATGAACTATTTCTCTCACAGGAAGAAAGACAAGTAAACAAGATAATAAAGTTTTAAGAAATGTACATTATTGACTTTTCATACAATTAAATGTTCGAATAAGTAAATGGTATATGACAATTATTTTAAAAAGAGTCTTGCACGATATGTATAAATGAACATATACTGAGTATTTGGCAAATATTTTTCATGACATATTGTAAAAAAAAAAAAAAAAAAAAACGTGTGGAAAGGAAAGTTGTTGTTTAATCCATCAATACTAGTATTTTAAAAATTCAAAGGTTCACTAAAAGTCAGTGTATAACAAACAATTTAATTGTCCATTGCAAGAATTACCTAGGTATCATTGTCACTTTCTTCAATATGTCGCATAAGCAATACATTGTTTGTTTTGTTTTTTTTACTAAAAACAAGTATGCGGATTTCTATCAATATGTCTGTAAGCATCTGTATTTAAATTTTTATTTCTTCTCAAAGGCTCAAAATGATAATTAACAAATTGGACAAATTCAAATTTAAAAAGTATTTTTACAACTTATACCTTGCATAGGAATTTAGCAAACTTTCAAAAATAATCATTCATTAGATATAATTTTCAATTTGTGCTTATCGTCAAGATTTTTCATGCCTCTTTTTTCTGTGCATATTTTATATCGGCTGATTTTTAGAAAAGGATCGAATGCCGATTAAATTTTTTTCTCCAATTTTTTAAAATTAATGTTAGTATTTTCAGGCTCCCATTATTTTTTTTTAAATAAAAATGTGATCGTTTAAAATCGTTTGTAATAATTAGACTGAGTACAGAATTTATCCCTGGAAACAAAGCTTTTTATCATCTTTTAAATAATTTCAATTGAGAAAAAAAGGAGAAGAAAACAAATGTTTCATTATGGAAGTAATCCATAACTGTACAACTTACAGATATATTCAGTATTTTTATAAAAAGGCTTTCTTCATGTACTATTATTACTTAAGTTAATTAAAGGGATGCCTTAATATTTTGGAAAATGAAACTCAATCGAGAGATTCTCCGATGTTTTGCAGTCGGTAATAACCTTCAACCCCTTTAGCCAGTAATTAACCCGTCCTCCCTGTGCCCAGTAGCATAATTCGGTCAAATATTTATTGTTCCTGAGGGGTGCCTTATAATTAATCACAGGCATCTGAATTTTTATCAGTAAGTCTCTAAATTAGCCAAATATCGAAACATTCTACCCCCTCTATATATAAATACACAAGGTGTCCAACGCCATTTTGACCACCTGTTCGATTCAGGCTTCAATTTAACACATAAATCGGAAATGCCTACTGGTTTTCGTGTAGCATTGGGTTCAAATATGATATTTCTCACTATACATTTCTTCCTAAAGTTTAAATCTAATGTGTTGATAATGTTATCAGCTAAACTTCATGCTGACTTCGAATTTCGTCACAGGGCCCGATCGCCATCAGCTGATGTCACGGAAATTCAATCTCGACACCAAATGCTCCTATACATAAACTTTTTTTAATACAACAATTATAAATTTATTTCATTGACAAACAAAATCAGAAAAAAATTAAAAAACCGAAAGATTATGTTGTTTTGATAGTCTTGATTTTATTTAACATATGTTATATGTGTTAGAAACAAATCAAAGGTACTAGGTAGAGGCTTTGTTGAAGTTTCCGTTGTCGATAGGTAGCGCCTTATGGAAGTTTCCGGTGTCGATAAAAATCGGACACATGCCATAAAGCGGTTAGCGAAGCTAACCGCTTAAAAATTTCATGCTAAATTGACATAAAGAAAGATACTCACCTTCAATTAGCTATTTTCATACTGTTTTCCCGTGGGTATTTTTTTAATCTTATTTTATTTTCTTCTTTATAATAACGTTGGTATTCTATTATGGCAGAGATATACAATTATGCCTCGCTTATACTGTACTCTCTAACTGTTAGGAATAATTTATATTTAAGGAATTTTTGAGTAAAAATACTAACGCGGCAGTTAGTCGTTTAATAAATTTCACGTTTTGTATGCACAAATTAGAAAATTAGTATATGGAATACTTTTGGGAAATAAAGACAAACGAAGTGTAGTTATTTGTTTTTAAAAATTATTTATAATCCATTGTGCTTTGTTACACCAAGCGGATTATAAAAAAGCGTAAACTAGGTTTAATAAAAATAAATCCCATATTATACTCGATAATCTGGCCAAGAATTAGCTTTAGTCACTCTTTATAATTTAATTTTTAAATAGATAAACAACTGTGGATGTAAAATTGTGTTGCTTTATATGAGTTCAAATTTGTCGCTCAATAATACAATCGTAGTAACGGAAGTGATGGGAAGCAAGGGGAGGTAATAACTGATATATAGATCTAGCAGCCATGATGCTTGTTTACATGAGGTAAGATCGAGCAACTGTTTGAAGTTAAAGGTACATTCATTAAATCTGGAATTTTTCATGAATCCGAAGGACTGGAAATGAGGGGATTGATGGATACAGATGATTCAGCTGGTTGTCAAGGGGGTGTGTCCCCATACCAAACCAGATTATACAAAATGTTATGCGTTCCTTTTTGGAAATCAACCAATGAGAGACAAGAATACAAACAGAATTAAATTATTTCACGTGAAAGGGACGCCATATATTTCAGTAAAAATACATAACGCGGCGTTAGTCGTTTAATTTCTTTTAAATTTCACGTTTTGTGAATAGTGCACAAATTATAAAATTAAGTATATGGAATACTTTAATGGGAAATAAAGACAAACGAAGTGTAGTTATTTGTTTTTAAAAATTATATTGAAAAATAATAACGCCATTGTGTTCTCTTTGTTACACCAGCAGTGTTTGTCGTGTGATTTTAAACTTATTTGACAACCGTATGAATTAGGTTTAATAAAAATAAATCCACAAGATACTGATGTGCAAGTAACAGTTACTGGCATAATGCGCCATTGCTTTATTCTTTAGTTTTTATAGAAAGTTGCACGGAATACCCGATTTTTAAGATTCAACGATACCCTAATATCGAGTATTATATGCGATTTCACGGATAATACCCGATTTCGAGTATTCTCTCTGACCTGATTTTAAGAGGATCACAAAATCACAAACACCTACTAAGATTATCCAAATGTCCCAAATAACTTCAAAGGTATAAAATTGTTAACAAAAATAAAAAGCAAACAGTCAATGATAGATACATGTTCTTTCCCATTACATATCTTGTCTCATCAATAATACTTACTCTGGCATACTGCCAGGAATGGAGAAATCGGTGAATTTGATTTTAACTTTTTCTAGTCTTTCTTGGTTGTACAGACCATCAATATAGTAAACACAGGTAATATTGACAGGAAATTTTCTTGGGTAGCCAGGTGACTTTATAGTTCCGTTTCTAGAATTATTGCTGATTATCCGCATATCACAAGCTGTATTAAAAGAAGAGATGATCAGTAATAAATGTATGGTTTCAGAAGTCACTGGATGTTTTCTACAAAATTCCCTTTTCCTTGGTGTGTCACCATTCAATGCTACCTCTCATAAGTATCAATTTCATCTTTAAACAAGAGCAAGACAATATAAATTCTAAAACTTTGCAAAGCACTAAGAGCAAAAAATTCTTTTTAACTATTTCATATTTCACAATCTAAAGCAATCTAATATTATTTTGAAATCCAAATTTAGTTCCAAATTCAAACAATTCTCAAATAAATTACTTTACAAAATGGCTGTAATCAGCTTGTAATCGATTACGTTTGAAATCCAAAATAATTGTTATTTAATTTTTTACTTTTGAAAGTTACCCATCCCAGCTACTGTCTTCATGTAAGACTAATGACACATATTAATTTAGCTAGTACTGAACACCTAATGGGTAAGACTTACCTGTCCCTTTGATATGATACAATGATACATATTAAGTTAACTAGTACTGGACATCTAATGGTTAAGACTTATTGGTCCCTTGGCGTTTGATATATGATACAATGATACATATTATGTTAACTAGTACTGGACACCTAATGGTTAAGACTTACCAGTCCCTTTGATATGATACATATTCTGAGACTCCATTGGCTTATCTGAAATATATTACAAGTAAACATAACTTTGACATTTGAATATATAACCAAGACAAACTTTTAATTTCATACATGTTTATTATGCAAACTTTAATTTGTTTTACAAAACACTTACTGAAATGGCAAAAGTGAACTTGTTTAAAAGTTTCTTTTTTAAATGCTTGTATTTTCCCAAAAGGTTATATCTCAAAAGATTCATTTTTAACTTGTAAGAAACCTTTTAAAAATCAAATTTTTAAAATGTCTGCGCTCATGAATCTTATTTTACATAAATTGGACAAAGTCATGGAATGTACTATCTACATCATTATAGACTTGGTAGCTTACATATTCATTTTTTTTAATTTAAATTCTCTAATACTTCATATTGAACACGGTAACTGGTATGTAGCACATATGGAATGCTCTGATACATTGGATTTCTTTATTTAACCCCCCCATTAACAACTTTGAATTGTAATGGAGATCAGAGATAAATTCTAGTTTAATTCACCCCCTTTTCCTATTCACACTCTGTCTTTGCCAACAACATCAGTCTGAGGGCCTGAGTGCTAAATAAATTTAAAAAATTTAAATTTCAAGACATACAACATATTGGGGGAGATAGCTCTTGAGATTTCAATCAAATGTTTCACATAATGCTAATTTTGACATTAATTATGAATCGTTAAAATGAAGAGCCATGTGATCCCGATGTAATAAATGAAATAAAAATAGAATAGAGGCTTTAATTTGATTGTTATTTCTTTTGGAATATCAATTCTTATCCTTGATCACTTGCGCAATTGCAATAAATCTTTCCCCTTCATGAAAAAGAAAAAAAGACAGATTCCTTAAGAAGTGATACTGCTACTATATATTGTTTTACAATCTGCCAAATAACATTGATATTACAGGTGTATCTTAATATTATCATTGTACAAATTAAGACATTCCATTGCATTTCTTTCCTTTGAAATAGGTCACTGACGAAAGAGAACCAACTCTTAAAATGTAGGAGGCTGTTTCTTTGTAACAGCCATTTATAATGTAAATGGATCAATATAATTCAAGTGAAAAATACTGACCTAATTTTACAATATCTTTTATAAAATGAAAAGAGACATTGAAGCCTCTCCTGGTGAATTTATAATCTACGTTGGTATGGTACGGATCAGCTACAGCCCCCATCCTCCCGGCCCTGGTTATAAACTCCATAAACAGGTTCTCTCCTGAGGAGTAGAAAGTCACAGCACTGTGTTCACCGCAAAACTTACTGAGGACAGGCGACTGTCTGCTGGCTCCATCATAAACCGTCAGGGAATCGTAGGGACAGCTGTCACAAAATACAATCAGCAATTAATGATTTAATTATTATCATGTACAGAAAAAAAACTCAGTTCTAGTAAAGGCGTCATGTAGAGTTGGGTATTGCAAGTGAAAACCATATTGCGATGTATTGCAATATTTTACTTTGAATATTGCAATACACATGTATATTGTAGATTAATTATCATTAATACATTTGAGCAGAATGTTTGAAATGCTGTCAAGTTAAAAGACTATTTGAATTTACCTGGTTTAATTAAAGGGGGAAGAGGGACAAGACAAGAATAACACTTTACTTCTAATAAAAAACCAGGTAAAATAGTAAAACAAGAACTCTCTTGGAGAATTTTTTAAATTAAAAAAAGGTTTTTTAAAGAATATACGTGTACGAGGGTTGTCCCATAAAATCGTGGACAAAGCGTTTTTCTCGAAAAGTAATGGGCGCACTAAGCTAAAAATTTCAGTAAATGTTTATTTATCATATTTAAGTTCATGATAATTTTTTTGATAAAATATATGCAAAAATAAAGATTGTATTATGCTTGAATGTGCACGAGGTATTGTCCTACGGCGCACGGTCAAAAAACCAACGTTTTATTAAAGAATACACAAGTTTGGATTCAAAATAAAAGTTTTAAATACAAAAGATTTGGATTAAAATTATCCTAATTCAATTCCACAATCAATTTTGTAGTCTTTGTAAAAATTTTAAAGCATTTGCTTAATTTTTGGCAGTTTCTCGAGCATTCGAAATGGGAAAGTGGTAAACACAACACATGAAAAATGGCGACGTTTTTTGACGTTACGGCGCACCGGAGAGCAGTTTAGTTTTATTACGATGTTGTAATGACACCTTTAGAGACTTGAAATGACCATAGAAGAAAAAAGATTATAAAATATCACCATATCTTAAGTATGCAAATGAAATAGGAGTTTTCTTAGCGAAGTTTTTTTTGATCGAGTCCCTGGGGAGTACAAAACATACGGACAAACTGCTAATGTAATAGCAAAAGACGCTGTCACAGTAGACCGCCGATACGAGATTTTCTATTAGTTGAAGGATGGTGAGTAACTTACTAATAAATCTTCAGAAAAATTGAAGTCATCAAATGTTATTAAAGATTAAAATAAAACATTCTATATGAAAGTAAATTTATTGTGGTTACAGAATACAATGAAAACAAGTTTAGCTTTTAAAAAAAGCTTAGAGAGTCAGCCAGTGGATTTTTCTTCTCTGTGATAATGTTTTGTAGAACACATGTACTACGGTACTGAAAAAAAAATGCATTATACCGGTATTGCATGTTTTGTCTCTTAATCAAAAGACAGATATATTGTAAAAAAAGTTCAATTTCACAAAACATAATTCCATGAAATTATAAACCAATGTAAAGGAGTATGGGGAACATGACAGTTTTAACAATGAAATTCCTATCACCCTGTTAAAGTTTGTCAGGTTGCAGGTTGAATCACTCAGTGCTACTGTATTTAGACAACAAAGACACCCTTGCCCCTGCGATAAAATAACAGCCATACTGAACCTTTAATTGAGAATATCAATAAAGGGCCAGTTAAATACATGTAACCAGTACGTACATTTTCTAGTACTTCTAGATTAGAAAAATTTCATTAAAACAGGTAACATGTAAGCTTTGTTTAGCCACTAATTTTGTATTTTTTATTTAAGTTTGTATATAATCCATTTGACCTAGCTAGCTGAATTTAAACTTGAAACTTAAACGAAGTGAATTGAAACAAAATAAACAACACAATGATGGTTAACAAATTCATTTATCAAACCTCTATGGTAAGAAAACTATAAATCCGTAAATCTGATTGCCACAACATAAATGGTCTCTTTCACTAAACAAGCTGATTCAGAGAATCTGCGTCTCCCACGCAGATCTAAAAAAAAAAGGGGGGGGGGTAATATGGGGCCATATGTTTCGCTGTAGTATATTATAAAAATTTAAAAAAAGCAAAAGTGTTTCTTTTGTACTGGAAATGAAAGTTTTAAATAATAAAGTGAAAATTTCATCGAGATATTGCACGGACACAAAGGTGATTTCATAACCTTGATCGCAGTGATGTTAAAATTTTTCACTCTAAATATTTCAAGGAATTGAAAGTGATACAGACAGAACTACAGACAGGGGCATGGAAGGACAGGCAGACCGAAATAAAATATCCTCCACTCTCAGCGGGGGACATTACAAACGAGCAACCGAGTTGTGTCGTATAATCTTTTCCGTTGTATGCTTTAACAAGTCAGTTTTTTGCATCGGGATCGAAATGATGTAATGAAAACGAAAGTAAAAGTAGTAAAAACTGAATAACTTCAAATCTCTATTAAACCAATGTTTATGTCGCAGATTTAAATACATAAATAAAATACCTTCAACATACTTTACAAAAGACCTTAAATTAACGCGTCAAACACTGTGCGATATGAATTCAAGTTTCAGCATCGAACCAGTTTAAATGTTAAAAATTGAAAGATAGAAATATAAGCATAAATGACTTATTTAAGTTGAATTTAAATTTTCGTGGTGTTATATGAATTTTACTGAAATGAAATTTTGATTTGTGGTTATTCCAAAAGCAAGCGCATTTGAAGTTCTTCGTATCATAACTAGTCAGCCCGCGGGCTGACTAACTAGAAAGAAATTGTAACCTATTTTCATGCGTTTTGGTGTTTTAGTCTAACCCAACCTAATTTCACATAATGACATACGATCAAAAAATGGCCTATATGCTCCTGGTATAGCATGAAGGTGTTTAAAATGACATGAAAGTTATTTAAAAATAATTAAAGCAACACTGCAACAAGTGAAATCATGGATGACCATTTACTTGTAATATGTACATTTATATTGAACTTGACATTTCATAGCGATGTCGACCGTGTAGATTCCATGTGAGATTTTGATAACCACAGTACACATGGTATACACCCTGTAGAAATGTTTTATATATTTTCTTATTTATTTTATTTTAAATTAGGTCTCATTAATTATGAATTTTATTTTAAAGTAAGATATTTAAAATTGCAACAGTGAATTAAAAGCTTCCTCTCTCTCTCTTCCCTCTTTCTCCCGAATGAAGCTGACGAAGTATTCTTTCAATCAGATTTTTTTTTAAAAAAGCATTTAGGAAGTTAGGGGACGACCATTTGATTCTGAGGGGGGGGGGGGCCTGGCAGAATTTGGAAATAAATAATCTGTCCCTGAAAATATTGAAAATAAATAATCTGTCCTCCTCTGCAAAGAAAATAAATAATCTGACCTTGACTTATGATATTTAAATATTGTGAAAATACCTTTTTATTTCCGTGTAATTTAACCTCAGAATCTTCAATCCAGCATTTTTTTCGCTCGCTTCGCTCGCCATTTTAGAACCAAATAGTATTTAAAATCAGATTACCAGACTGGATACTTGTAGTCAGTTGATCAGCATGGCAATGTGCACTCAGTAGATGTGATGAATCACTTTAAATACAAGCCAATTCTTAAACACCACAAAACATAAATTTTCTTGTCAAAGAAGTATACTTCCCGATAAATTAATACAAAGTATACAGTTGCGGATTTAAGGAAGGCATACATGTGAATGACCCCTCCCCTAAAATTTCAAAGTATCATATGTATAATATTAATATTGCCATACTTTAGTACAATACCAATCTTTTTGTGCCTAGTTTTACTCTTAAAATACACAAAAACCCAAGAGCTTCAGGGGGCTTCGCCCCCTGGGCCCCCTTCATTCAAAGTATAATATGACTAGTATTAATTATGTCATACTTTGGAACATAACTAACCAATTCCTAAATAATTGTGCCTGGTTTTACTCTTAAAATACACAAAAACCCACGAGCTTCAGGGGGCTTCACCCCCTGGACCCCTTAATTCAAAGTATGACATGACCAATATTAATAATGTCATACTTTGGTACATAATAACCAATACCACTACATGTATAATTGTCCTGGTTTTATTCTTAAAATACCCGAAAACCCAAGAGATTCTGGGGGAATTTCCCTCCCTTGGCCTCCACCAGTGCTTCGCCCAGGACCCACTGGGAGCCTTAAGGCGGCCCCAGACCTCTTGCCTGAACGAAGTTATACACGCCCCCCCCCCCATCCTGAATCCGCCTATGGTATATAAATGATTAGTCTTTTAGAATCAATCGATCAAGGTACGTAAGACAAAGAAGAAAATAAATAATCTGTCCTCGATAATCTTGAAAATAAATAATCTGTCCTTGACAGGCATGAAAATAAATAATCCGTCTCAAAAAAATTTGCCAGGCCCCCCCCCCCCCCCCCCCCTCAGAATCAAATGGTCGTCCCCTTACAAGTATTATTTCAGCAGTTTCTACAATAAAGGTTTTTATATATTTTTATAAATATCGTGAAATACCGGTATCTGATTTTCATATCGCGATATATTATCATGGTGATTAATACCGCAATATACCGATATACCGGTAATATTGCACACCCCTACTGATGACCTGTGAATTTGAATTGCTATATTAATAATTTGATATGTTCATATAATCTAAATACTCACTGTGAAAATAAAAACATTGTCAAATGAAATGAAAATAGTGCCATAATCACAATTGCTTGTCTAATGAATTGACTCTCAGAAATCATTGTGTGAAAGATTAATTTTGTTGTTATTCATGGATATCTAGTACATACTGTAAATATGATAATTAATAAAAAACAATGAACACAATGTCGTTATCCAACCCAAGATAGAAGAACATTAAATAAAACGTAGCAACTATTTGGCATCTGATCAGTAAGAACTGTTAGTACAAGAATATTAGTTGCTGTTTCTTGTTTTGTGTCAGATACCAACTTGAAGGATAAATCACTGCTATGATCCCAAGTTTTTTAGTTCAATGTTGTCTTAATAAATTTGTTAGAATCATATTTTTGAAAATTTTCCTTATAAAAGCTGTATATTTATATTTACACGTCATTTTAAATATATATAA